CTCTCTCTCTCTCTCTCTCTCTCTCTCTCTCTCTCTCTCTCTTCCTCGATTTTATTTTTACTGACATTCAAATTTAGAACAGATAATCATTCCTCGAAGTTGTACTTCTCCGAGCTTCAAAAAAGAAGTTTCCGTTGATTCTGTCTCCTGGTTATTGATACAAGAAATTTTCGTACTTCTTGGAAAAAATGATGGATAAAATCATAAAATAATGGGCTGATCTTGAAAAGTATAGTGTAAGTTATACATGTAATCTCACGTTTCTTGAATCCCTGAATATGATGATAGCATTTTTATTCTCGTTTAAACTCGTAGGAAAAATGATCAAACTTCGCCTCAAAAGACAAAGGTTTTAAAAAGATCGGAAAATATTACTTTTAATAATAATTCGGTGACGATTTTGTTCAAATTATTTTTTATTACTGGTATTATAGTTTTGGTTTCATAAATTTCTTCACTAAAAACCAAAAAAATCTTCAAAATTTTCACTTAAATTCTTCCCACGAAATTCTTCTTACTGTCTTATCAGTCCTCACGTCATCCTTCTTTCGTATATCTTTATTTTGTCTTCTTATTCCAATCGATAAGCAAACTTTTCCTCTTTATTTCTTCCATCCTCTTCTTCCTCCACCTCTGATGTACTTCTGTCTTCTATTATACATTTCCCCTGTCGATAATTTTCTCTCCATAACCATACTAATTTAAACTTGCCTTGCACTTAAAGTGAATTCTATACCTCTCTTTTGGCTTATATCCAAGCCAAGGAGTTTCTCATATCCTATAATTTTCCTCTTATTCTTTATACTTCACTCTTCTAACTTGCGTAGCACCTGTTGTTCTTATATTATCCTTGTTCCATATATCTTTATTTTGTTTCCTTATATCATCAGACAACCAAGTCTTTCCTCTTCATCTTTTCTTTTCTTCCTCCTTTATGTACTTCTGCCTTCTACTACTACCTATTATATGTTTCCTCTATCGACAGAGAGAGAGAGAGAGAGAGAGAGAGAGAAAACGAGTTTCCTCTGCATTACCATATTAATTTAAGCGTATCTGCGTATCATTATCTACACTACGCTAACTACCCGTTCCTTATGACGTCATAACCTTTATTTATCTATGCACTTTTCCTCTTTTCCTATCTTTTCTATCTAACGCCTCGTTTCGCCTCTCACTTACACACTATCTACGCACTCATTTCTACATAATTTCCTCTATCTAGTTTCCCGGCATAATTCAATACACTAAAATTTCAAACTCACACACTACGTTAATCAAGCATTCACATACACGCCATCAATAACCAAGTCCTAATATAAGTAATTAAATAATTAAAGAACAAATTTATCACTAACCGAATTACGATTAAAATTTACTTCAATCCTTTATGACTTATTTCAATCCTTTCAAAGAGGATTTTGACCACTTCCCAGAGGTTTAGACGGATGAAAGTGCTATTATCGTATTCAAAGATCCAAAAGAAGTTACATATATAACTAACGTTACACCTTTTAGGCCGGAATCGGCCCATTTTACCCCTCATCCTTTTCTCCCACTATGACGTCAGTCGTTCCACTTTGCGATTCGTCTAAGTGGAAAATCAGATTACACGGCCGAGAATTTCAAGATGTTTTTCGGTGGCACACCCGACACTCCGGGAGTCGGATGTCAAAGACGTGTCTGAGAAAGGGAAGAAGATCACAGCTAACGGAGGCAGAGGCAAGAGCCAAGAGAAGGAGGCTCTCCTCGCGCGAGACTTCCATCTCCTGTCAGAAGTGGGATACATCATCGCAGCTATTCTAATCTCGTTGGCGACGAGGCCTAAATGGGTCGTCGGGGCCACGGGCGGGACATTCAGGAAGAGATCGACGACGCGGAAAAAGAAACGATCCGCCATCTGGAGCGTCGATGATCTTATAAACCGACGGCTGTTGCGTTGCATTGCGTCAAGGAGCGGACGCATTGCGTGACTTCGCGTTCAGTAGCCCGCGGAGAGTCGTGCGCGAAATGCACGTGCACAATTTCGAGACGACGAGCTTTTTCCGACTCACCGGGCAACCGTAACACTCGGGAAGAGAAGGCGAACGACTCGCGCGACAGTGGCTTTTTCTTCGCGAGACGCACAGCCGACTTGAGCTGTCAAAATCTCAAATATATCGCCCGACATTCGCAGGTGCGCACGCGAGCGGGTTTGACGAGCTGGGTAATTGACGCGATCTTCCGGCGCTTGACTTTTCTCCTCAGGCGGTAACGAGTGGAAAAGTGCGGTGAATTGTACAAATTGCTGTCAGGGTGCCTCGCGCGCTGATAATACATCAAAACACGGCGGAGAAATGAGACTGCGAGGAGCAGAGCTCGCGCTCAGCCTTCTGCTGCTGCTGTTGGTGTCCGCGTTCGAGTTTTGCGCGGCCGACAACGACACCTGGGCTGTGACACGCGACGCGAAGGCGCGGATAATCAAGAAGCTGCGGAAGGACTACCGGAAGCTGAAGAAGCAGGAAGGAGCGTTGAAGCTGATCGGAAGCGAGGCAGGCGACCACGAAGGTGCCGCGGTCAGGTCTTCTTACACCGAAACTCGATCATTCAAACATATTTAACCCTCCGCGCATACGCTGAGAGGAAAAATATCCAAAAAATAGAAAATATTTATTTACGAGATATTGATATTTACTCATAATAATATAAAATATTTTGCAAATAAGAAAATATACGTTTTCTTAAAACCTTAAATTAAGAGAAAATACTAGAAAATTTATTTATGGAATATATATATATATATTTGTTTCTATAAAAGAAAATATATTTCTTTAAAACAAAATTTATTTCTGTGAAAATAAATTTTATATCCCGCGCGCGTAAATAAATTTCCAAATATTTTTTCTCAGTATAATTTTTAATGAGAAAGCAATTATTTATTTTAATTAAATTGAAGAATTTAGATTTAAGTGAATATTAATATCCACAGAATATTTTATTTGTTAGACATTTTTTCTCTCAGTGTACAATCATATTTCTGGATCTGTCAAACCCGAACAACTTCAAATCATAATAATAAGCTATAACCTTGTTAAATATCATTAATCAATTAATCAATTTTAGACACATATGTTTTCCAATAGAGGCATGAAAAAAAATAACTTCATTAATCTAATTGAATTTTCCATTAACTAAATTTTCCTGGGGACTAGAAGAAAACTCGACTGTAAAAAGAAAAATTCCTGTAGTTTGTACTCAATTAATTGCTCTCAGTTATCTTAACCGACCTTAATAACCAGGCGAATGTTTTTGGTCGCATATAGACAAAAATATTATTCTACTACTAAGAAAAACGATTACTCAGGTTACTTTCCTTCTCTTAAATAATGGTTACCTTTAACAAAGGAATATTTTACTCTTGATAGTCTTAAAATATATTTGCTAGAAATTTTAAGAAAGCTTATTATATAATCATGTACTCAAAGGATTTATTCTTTTTACAAGAAGATTTTCGAATTAAAAACTTATCGAAAGAAAAGTTGTTTCGACTTTATGGTAAGCAAATCAAATTCTTGTTTTAATTTAATATTCTTGATTGAAAAGCTAAACTTACTAAGATTCGGAACGTGCTTTGAATAAGTTTCATACTATCACTTAAAAAAATGTTTGGTATTTATAACTAATCACAAAGAAATAATTACAATAATAATAATCTAAATAAATTCTACTATAATGTTAATAAAAATAACTTTATATGCATGTTACTACTACAATTTTACTACAAAGAATATATTTGGAGCAAAAAGTAACTATAATTTTAGCTCAATTGCTTTTTTCTTAATGTATAATGAGTTTTTGACAAATTCGCAGACATATAAACTTATGAAATGCTGGAAACAAATAACAATTACTTGAATGCATTTTTCCGTGTGCAGAGATATTATTTCTCGTCATCGAGTAATTTATCTGGTCCCCATTCAGTAGCAAGAAATGAAATTCCTTTCTCCGTGTATAGAAAAGCCTCAGCTATGAAAGAGTAGCGCAATAAAGTTTGCATACAGATTTAAAATTTTCCTGGACTCTTTACGGAAGTTTATGAGCGATTGAATATTCATACACAGAGGTGTCACACAAAGCAACAACACATTGTGCGCGGAGGGTTAGCTTGCCAACATATCCGAGACTAAGTATTAATAGTCATTACCTGAAACTTGTCCCACGTGAGACTTAGAGGCGTCCCACTTAGATACGAATTTAGAGTTAGATTAATTTTCCACTCGAATCACATAATATATGCGACGTTATACTTACACAATCGCGATTCAGCTGAAAGATTGAACTCTAAATTCACAAATCTATCTCACCTGAGGCATAACGAGATAAAACTTTTTGTAAGTTGTTTAGTATGTTATTTATAAGTTTTATCAATTCTTAAATCCATATCATTACTCAGATTTGCTTTGAAAATTAATTCCACTACTTTCTTAAAAATCCAAGAACATAAGGCAAAAGTTTTATTGTTAATCGATCTCAAACAAGACCAAACGCATTGATAATGCTAAAAGCGAGATTGTTAATTTCGAAAACGGATGATCACCATATTGAATCCGCCATTCCGAATTGTTTTACATCAAATTCATAATCAGTGACTCCGAAATACGTCACGTTTGGAGGAGCTTTCAACTAATGACTATTAATGCGGGTTTAATTACGAAGAGTTACGCGCGTCGAGGAAACGGCGCGCCACTCGTGACGTATGCGGAACGGAGGAACTTTATCATTCAATTGATGCGCCGATCAATTGCGAAGCGCGCGACGCTCCTCTCTCGGTCTCTTTACCGCGACGGCACAAACGCGGCGGATGCGTCAATAATTCGCGTACCGACGCGAACGGCACACCGACCGGTACTCACCGCGAAAGCACCGTCCGTCGCGGCGCGTTCTCGTAAATCCAACTTTCCGGCCGATAAAAGCGCGAAGTTTCACTCGCCAAGTTCTCCCCGGAGTGTAGGGGTTGATATTGCCCCCATGATAAAGCGCGGCCGGGCAATACAGAGGCGAGGGCTATAAATCTTCTTGTCTCTCTCTCTCTCTCTCTTTCTCTCTCTCTCCTTCCCTCTTTTTCTCCCTCTCTCTTCCTCTCTCCCGCGGGAAGGGGGACAAAAAGTGAAGAGCGCAGCCTTTTATTATCGCGCGCGCAGCTCTGTGCAAATCGCGCGAGCGAGCGAGCAAACGCAATGACGATTAAAAAGGGGTCAACTCGAGGAAGATTTATGTCAACGACCATGTGTCAACACGACCGCACGCTGTACGTCACGTACGCCGCACGTATGCGCAATACTGGGAATCGCCAGATAGCGTGGTCACCGTAAAGTCCGGCTGCGAAATAGGGTCGCGATCCGCGCAGCACCCGGCCGCCGGGTTGGATCGTTAAAGCAGAAGGCCGCGCGATTTTTCCGCTTTTCCGCGAGAGATCTCCATCTCGCGTAACGCGGGCCTGAACGATCAGGCGAGAGATCCTCGCAACATCCAATGTCAGTCGTTCTGACTTACATCGCATGACAATTTAATAAAAACGAAATGTCTATCTAATATTGCTTTGTAGATAAGATTTCAAAAAGGGGATTTCTGTATCTATGTGTGTTTTGTATATTCCCTTAAAAATCTAGAAACGTTGGAGATATCGAGATAAAACTTTTTGTAACTTGTTTAATATGTTTATTTACAAGTTTTATCAATTCTTAGGTCCATTCTTAGATCAATTCTTATATCATTACTCAAGTTCGCTTTGGAAATTAATTCCATTACTTTCTTAAAAATCCAAGAACATAAGACGAAAGTTTTATTATTAATCGATCTCAAACGAGACAAACGCATTGATAATGCTAAAAGCGAGATTGTTAATTTCGAAAACTGATGATCATCATATTGAATCCGCCATTTTCCGAATTTCTTTACACCAAATTCATAATCAATGACTCCGAAATATGTTACGTTTGAAGGAACTTTATCAGGAAGTAAATAGCATGGCTCAAAGGATTAATCCGAACCTTGTTAACTTGAACACAGAATTCTGGTAACTTCATTTTTGCTTGGACATTTAATTGACCCAACTCAATTTTCTCTTCCCGTGTAACACTAGAACAATCTAGAATTAACGAACACGAGAGAAGAATCCTTATTTCCGATCAAACTCTCGGTTTGCCCGAAATGATTTTCTTAGTCAACAGCTTGGCGTTCCTTAAAGCAAAGGATAACACGTTCTGACAATTCATTTATCGAACAAACCGCAATGACACTTCCGCAATCAACGATCATAATCGGTCATAATTATTAGTCGCTAATTGTATTATACGCGTCGATGATTTTTCCGTATCGAGAGTTTCCTCGTTATTTGTCGGGATTTGTCGCAATATCCTGCCGCGCGTCGGTCAAATCGCGAACCCGTCGTGCAAATCGATCGCGCACACATATACGCGCGCTCACACACACACACATTGTTTCCTGCTTTTTGTGTCACGCGCGACCGAGTCGCGGTCGGGAAAAGCGTGAGATTTTATTGCTGTCTGTTGCGCGCAGGAAACGTAGAGATACTTCACGACGGGAAGTGGGGCAGTGTGTGCGACGACGAATGGGACGACTTGGATGCCGATGTGGTTTGCAGGCAATTGGGTTTCAACGGTGCAATTAGAGCGACGACGAACGGGCACTTCGGCCAGGCCAGAAGTGAGACGATTATTATTGTCTTCCCAACTAATCCCCGCGGTCTTTCACGATCGCGAGTGCAGCGCGAGCTCGACGGAGCGCAGCCGAGACGTGTTGGACGCGCAAGTCTCGTACAAGTGGAGCCGTTTGTTCGCTGCAATTTATCGACAGACGCATCGCGTATTTTTAGCGCGTCGCGTCAAACCTCGTCCCTCCGCGAAAAAAATTTCGCGAGCGATATGCTAGATCTTTTCGCTGCTACGCTCGATCCGCCTTCCGGGTTAGTACCGTGTCCCCTCGATTTGTTTCCGAGCTGTCGTGAACATTTCACCTCGCTCTTTCTGGGAAAGGACTTTAAACTAATCAATTGAGTTGAAAGTTTCAGGTTGCTCCTACCTTTGCTTGAAGCGAACCGAAATGTTCACGAAACGTCGGAGAGAAATCCACAAAAGACACGTCACCAAAGCCACATCGAGCGAAGTAGCAAAAAGTTTAATATAGAAAAATCTTTTCGCGAAGGGAGAGAGAAAGAGAGACGAAGCTTGACGAAAACTGGATCGAGCACTTCTTCACACCGCGGAAGTCACGAAAATATCAGATTTTTGTGTTATTTTATTTTTCCTGCATTCGCACTCTCCTTCCTACCGTTTATTTGAATGATTCCCAAAAAGAAATATAACCTCATCCTTAAAGAGATTCTCTCAGAAGGATTTTTCTAAAAGGAAGATCTATTCTAAGCATAATATTTTTAAAATTAGAAAAAGCTCATCTTTTATCTACAAGTCTCTCTTACTTGTCGCCTATATCACGCGTAAGAGAATATTCTTTGTTTCAAATAAACATATTCCTCTTAATATAAGATATTCCTCTTAAGAGAAAAAAAGTTAAAAAGTAAGAGAAATAAAATTAAATAAAAGAATAATATCTTACGCGAGATTTATCACAGAGAGGCCTTCAAATATCCAATCACTTTAATATTATAATACTCGATGAGGTCATTTTGACTTCTTTAGAGTATTTTTGTTTTCACCATTCTTGTTTCTCATGATTTAGGGAAAAAATCTTTTATGGCTTTTAATTATTTTTAAGATAGAATACGCGCTGAAAAATTAACGGAAGAGATTGATAATATTCTGATAAATTATTTTATGATTTATCGTAAATATCCAAAAAGAGTCAATTTGACTCTTTATTTAATTGTCAGTGTTATAAGAACAGTATGCAAACCATTTTTTAAGATTTTTTGAAATTTTAGTTCTTTAAATCCGATTAAATTTATATTTTATTCAATATATATACCAATACATTTACCAATCTTTTCGTACTAATTATAGAGAGTAATCAAGTAATAATTACAATGCATCTTACTACAGAAAATTACAAATTTGGAAAAATTATGAAAATTGAAACTTTTTACAATATAAAATGTCAATATTTTGCAAATTATACTCTAAAAATGTTGAAAAATTACTCTCTTAAAATGAATCAGTCAAACATCACTGAAAACAATAAATATATACTGATTTACAGTTATAAGTATAGCACTGAAAGTGCTCAGTGATATCTGTGACTATTCACTTATTCACTTTAAGAGAGTATTAACACGAGTAATGAGAAACAGAGAGAGTTTTGAAATGATAGAATCGCAAGACATCCAAATGACTATTTTGACCATCCAAAGAGGATTGTTATTCCCGAGCATTCTAGTGTTAAGATATGTAACAGCCAATAAAAGCCATCGCAGATCGCAAATTTTAAATTTTATTTTCGATTGTTGACTCTATTACATATTTTAGAATAATATGTAGTAGAATTCCGATTAATAATCCACTTCATTAGGAGAAGAACACTCCATCACTAAAAGTTTTCGCTTAGTATATAGGAAATAGCACCTCATAACTAGTTTTAGAGAAATCCTCCTGAGGCCATATGTAAGAGGATTCTGCTAAGAGTGGGATTATATTTTTTTAAATAATATACCCAAATAGCAAGATGTCCTAAAATTATTCAGAATACCCTGAGGAGTATTCTAAAACATACCGAGCACATTCAAGAGGATTCAGGACGTTTTGGGCTAGAATTTCTCTAGTCAAAGTTAGGACAAAGCATAATGATTCCTGATCTGTCTGCAACCTGTCTGCCATTTTTAGGGGTGATGTGAGTAGCAGTGAGAGAGAAGCTCTGAGACCGAAATGACACACAAAGCACGTCGCAGCTAGTCTCTCACTTATCCACTCGCTTCTTCCATATAAATGGCGGACGATATCCTAAGTTTGACTTAAGGAATTCTATTTTGGGGGTATCTAGATAATAACTTTTCATCAATAAGATCAGGAATTAGATAAGGTCCGATAAATTAACGCGACGCAACAAGCGCGCGAATTCTCATACTGAAAACGTCCCGAAGGAAGATACTGGATGGACAACGTTTACTGCGACGGAACCGAGGACGAGCTCGCAAAATGTCGCTTCGATAGTTGGGGTGTCTCCGACTGCGATAGCAACGAGGCTGCCGGTGTGGTTTGCGTGCACGACGAGGAAGCGAAAACGACGTCGAACCCGCAGAAACCGCCGAAATCAAAGATAAAGGACACGCATCTGCGGGGAACGGCATTGCGGTTGTCCGGAGGCCGAGTACTTTCCGAAGGTCGAATAGAAGTCAAACTTGGTGATGCGGGTAAGGTGGAAACGCAAAAATAAAATGGAATGGCGTGAGCTAGATCTCCATCGCAAATTTTAACACGTGATAATCAGATATTGTAGTGAGCAATTGACGTCTCAACAATAAGCAATGGTTATTGTGAAATAATTCGTTTATTGCACTGACGAGAAGCCGACTAAAAAGACTAAGATTCTTATTTTGAATAAAAGTGTCTCTAAATGTAACTTATAAGTCTTCTGATTAGCTTATAAACACATATAGAGTAACTTTTCCTCTCTAAAACTAGTCCTTTCTAAAAAAAGTATGTAAGAGATTTAATTGTTTCCGCTTTTCCGCGATGCTAATTGGTTTTCTCGCTTAGCTCACTTCATGAGGGCTGCGGCTTGCTTCGTGTCGTTTGCGCCTGTCAAATTACCAGGCAAATAGCTGTCATCACGTTGGTTAGATCACGAAAAAAAAATACAGAAGAAATATGTCTCTCCCTGTCTCTCCCCGTCTCTCCCCGTCTCTCCCTGTCTCTCCCTGTCTCTCCCTGTCTTTCCCTGTCTCTCTCTCTCTCTCTTCCCGTCTCTCCCCGTCTCTCCCTGTCTCCCCCTGTCTCTCCCTATAATTATTAATTAATTAAAGTATATTTTAATTTAATTTAATTTTTATTTTATTTTTATTTTACATTTTTTATTGTTTCTTATTAGCTATATGGCGCGCGCATGTATTGTTCTAATATTGAAGTAAAAAAGAAGTCAAAATAAGAGCCTAAATCTATGTCTGTAGCAAATTTTGCTACACAAACTGCAATAGTGTCAAGCTCAGCCTGACAGTAACACCAAGAGCCTTTCAAACATACTAGTATTAATTCGTTCCAATTCACTTCCGAGAACTCCCTCAAAAGTATGCATGATTACCACGTTAAAAGTGAAACAGAAGAGAATGCTTGTACAATAAGTGATTTAATAAATTTTCACTCAGATAAACACATAGGTGTATGTAAAATTAGCAGCAACTTTGTTAATCAATTTGTAAAGGTTATATCACTTATGAGTGGTGCATATGTGGCATTCATATTTATCACATAGAGTGACAAAATAGAGATATAAAAGAAATGCTAAAAAAACAACGAAAATTGGCTCAAAACATGTCATATAAAATTTGACATGAAGATCTGAGTGTAACTTTGTTGCTGCATCAATGCACAAGAATTTTACATTATTGCGTGATATAAATTTATTGATGAATTCAATACAGGATACGTTCTTCATCAATGTAATTAAAAGAAATTTCCACCATCGACTGTTTCTCGTCATGATAATCATAAAAGTCTATCTGAGCAATTCATTGATTAAATGAGTGTGTTACTGTCAAGTATCTTTAAATAAAAATTGAGCCAGATGAACAATCTAATGTAGGAATTTAAACTGCAGAATTTAGTCGACCCTATAAAAGTTTGACGAAACTGAAACATAGCTATACTATATTGCAGTACAACTGAAATAGCTGTTATATTGTAAAAAGGATATAGCTTTTCTTTTCTCCATATAATTTTTTTCAATTCTGTTATATTTCTAGTAGTACAGACTGTTACTAAGATTTGTCTTGCTAAGGAACATAATTTTCGCTAAAAATTTCTTCATAGCACATTCCGGTCCCTAAAATATGAACAGCACAAAAAAGGATAGTCAATCACTGCAGAACATCGTCCCACTGCTCGATTATAAAATTCTATAACTTTCACTATAAAATTCTCTGTGGTTTTCATTTAAATTAAACAATTCGGAGAGAGAAAATAATCATAATGCAGCTGACAATTGTAACGAAACACGATACTTTCTGTTTTATCGAATGAACGAGCTCCGAATTCCGATAGCGAGAGATCACGAGGACGCTCGACGAGCATCCGGTGAACCCGCGAAATATGATGAATTCGATTTCAGATTGGGGTGTCGTCTGCGGCGACAGTTGGTCCATGCTCGAGGCCGCCGTCGTCTGCCGTCAATTGGGCCTCGGTTACGCGTCCGTCGCAACACAGACCGACTTCTTCGGCGGCGAGGTGATGCCGATATCGATCAGCGGAATACAGTGCCACGGGAACGAGGGGAATCTGGCGGATTGCCTGCACGACAAGGTTGTAAACTGTCCAGGTACCTCGATCGGGAAAACTAAGCTCAAATATTTGCGACGGCACGGTCGCAAAAAAGTTGCGACGAGACGGTACTGGTATTGTCGCGGGAGATACTTCACTTCGCCGAACGCGACGCGCAAACACGACGCTTTTTGCGTCCGCAGAGTAGATGGTAAGATGTTTGTAAATACCAGCGGTAGCGTCGAAGACCTCGAGAGAGCATAGGAGAAACAATTACATATATCTGCTCACGGAGATTACTTTTCAAATCGACGGTGTGAGAGATCGATTTACAACGCGGTTCGCGTCCAGGGAGCCGCGAGAAGGTGGGACCTTCGTCGATTTAAACGCCATGATCCATCTCGTATGTAAGTGTGATAGAAAAAGCACCTTGTATGTAGTATCCAGAGAATGTAAAAATATCAATCAAGTTTTTCCAAATTTATGTATGTCCCCTTATGGCCGCGGAGCCAGGTCCATTGGCCATTTTTCCAAATTTAATAACTTTGGACAAATGGTAAGTAGTTAAGAAAGAATAATCAAAAAAATCCAAAAAGTGGATGATCACTATGATCAATTTCTCTTCTTTCATTGCCAAATTGAACTCTTAAAAAAATAGGTAAAAAAGACACTAATAGAAAATAAAAACTGTTCTTTAATTAATTTCAAGCATCCACAAGGCTTGGACCCTTTTATGTAGAAAGATGTATTATAAGCTACCATTGGTAACAGAAATTCGGAAATCATAATTTTGTGGGTTAGATGATTCTCACATGACTATGGCTAAGTATGTTTCAATTCAATTCAACCAATTGATGATTGATTCGAGCAAAATCGATCGAAGAATATTTAATTGACGGTTGCCTTCAACGAATTCAATTAAAGACCGTTCAATTGACGACTGATATGAGCAAAGAGAATCAAAGATTGTTCAGTTGACAATTGAACTTAGCGAATTTAATTAAAGGCAATTTGACTGACAATTGAACTTGACAAATTTAATAAAAAGCCTTTTAATTGATAATTGATATAAGCAAGTTCAATCGATTCAATGGAAGGGAACTCGATTACTCAATTTACAATTAGTTACACTGAATAATATTCATACCCGGAGCATCGTAGTATCGGGAAAGATGTCAATGTTTGAGAAGTGCTACATTGAAAAAGAATTACTTGAATATTTATTTATTTATTGAATATTTACTTATTTATTTATTTATGGAATATATATAAAGTTTCTATATTTATGGAATATATATAAAGTTTCTTTGCAGAAATAAATTTCACTTTATAAGAATAAACTTTATTTCACAGAAATAAACTTTATATCACACGAATAAATTCCCAAATATCTTTTTTCAGTGTAAATAGAACCAACATTGAAAAAATACTCTGAGAGAAATTCTGATAAAAAAATTAACAAACAAATATTTCCGATTAAAATACCGATAAATTTTCATATTTTTCATCGAATGTCTCTTAATCGCCCAGATAACAGAGAGAATCCCAAAAGAATTCATGTTTATATCACCAATTCTGAGTTTTTTTTATACAAAAGAATTTTTTTTATAAGAAGGATACCAAAAAGAATTTTTTTATGAGAAAAATTCTTTTTGTATCTAAAAAGGAATTCGGAATTGGTGATATAAAGATGAAAAGTCTAATCAATTCTTTTTAAATTCTCTGTGCTATCTGGATGGATACAAAAATTCATCGGAATTTTGATCGGAAATTTTGATTTGTTTGTTAATTTCTTATCGAATCATATTCTTCTCAGTGTGGTCATATCAATCTTCAATGAAAAATCTACAATTTAATCTACCGATATAGTCAATTAAACGACGTTTAATTAAATTTGCTAACTTTAACTGTTAATCAACGATCTTTGATTCCCTTCACTCATATCAATTGTCAATCAAACGGTCTTTAATTGGATTCGTTGAAATCGATTACCAATCGAACGATTGTCGATTGAATTTGTTGAAATCAATTGTCAATCAGATGGTCTCCAATTGAATTGATTCATATTAATCAATTAAACATGATAATTAATTCAAGAAATAATTATTGACTCGCAACTCTAGTCGCATTCCCCGTCTCTTTCGCTCTCATACGGTATACACAAGGTGTACTTTATGTGTACCACGTATATACAGCGAACTCATGTGTTTAACGCAAAACAAGAATCGACGTCAACGCGCAACTTTGACATTTACGTACACTGAGAAAGATCAGACAGAGAAAACAAAGTCTCGGAGCTGAGCAAATTTCGCTGCATCGATTGCAATCGAGTCAAGTTAAATAAAAAATTAAGCCGACAATGTCAACACGTCAGTAGATGTAGAAATTTCAAATGTCATTTATAGTGAAAAATCAAACGAAGAACTGAAATGTGGTTATATGTGTGATATAGATGACCTTTCAAAAGGCTAATCCAATTACGTAATAAGGGTAACTCTCCCTCTATCTCACTACTCAATAAATCAGACTATTATTATGACCAGTAATGAATCTATTAGGACCTTAACTTAGTTTCCGCCCGCAAATGTTAGATGGCAA